ATCATACTTAAAGCCTTATAAATTTTAGTAAGATTTAAGGCTAATAAGAAAACCAGGTGATTCAAAATTGAAAAATTTCATAAGGTTACAAAAATTCAAAAAGATGAGCCTTAAATAGGATGTCATTTTTTTTCTTCCAACCTCTTAGTAACAAAAATTGTTAATCACCGATATGTTTTTAGATACATTTGTCATACTAATAATAAACAAATGGGATAAAGCAAAAAAAGCTAAAATTTTTTATAAGTCTTTTTGTGAATACAATAAATTAAAATTTGGAATCATTAATTAAAGGTAGCATTTAGAAAAATTTATTTAATAATGTCCAGTTGAAAAATGCAAAATAGCATAGTTGACTTTGAATACTCTGAATAAATTTTATAAGTGTTTTGTTTTGGGTGGTAGAATTCCATTTTTCAAGAAAAAACCACATTAAAAATAGCTATTGGATCAAAGATTAAATATACAAATGCACCGATTTCAAACTTAATTTCGAGGTGAGGGTAAATAATAGGTATGACTGCAGACAAAATGTAAAGAAACGCCAACTTCTTGAAAGCATTGAACTTTGAATTGGTTAATTTAATTAGATGAGTTGCGCCTAAAAAGCTATCTTAGAGCCAAAAGATAGCTGTAGGTGATAAAGTGAAAGATTTTTAGCTCAGGGTGAACCATACCGTAAAATTACGTATTAGAAGAAAGTTATTAGAGGGGTATGATACAATCTATTCCTCAGAATACTTTAGCTGACTAGGAAGTGGCTTGAAATAAGAAATGTCGATAAAAAAAAATTTTCATTGTGCTGGTCAAAATATATAGCAATGAATCTTGGCTGGCACCATCAATTTCGTGAGGCTCTCGGTACGCAAAGGTCAGATCAAAAAATAACTTTCTCACTGAGAAAGAAATGGAATTTTGGATTGTTTAAAAGTACTTTCACTTGCTACCAGTAACTCTTTTTAATAAAGCTATTGGGCCTTTAAAGTTATATGGTATCTAAATATTCGTAAAAACAGCGAAAATGGAGAAATCCAAATTATAAATTTTGTAAAATGATTTTCAATATTTTGATAGATTTGTTGTAAATTTAAGGCTGAGGTCAGATTCATCTAGATTGTAGATTAATTAGTTTCTGGGAGCTTTTTTCCAAAGACATATACAACCAAGTCATCAACTTTAAAATGGCTAAAAAATGGTTCGAGAAAACTCAAACTGGTCACCTCAACCCACATTTATTATTTATAGAAATGGGATTAAAAAGGACCTTAGAGCCTATTCTTATAATTATTGATTGCAACCCGCAACTTCGACAAACACATAAGCTTGTCAATGACTAGGTTTTCTTAAAACCTTTGAGAATTCGGGATCACCTATTGAGTTGCAATCCAAATGGCTCGTAATTTACGAAGAATAATCACTATTCTAATACAAGAGCTTTAAATGGTCTATTTATATATCACATCTCAATTCCCAACAAAAAAGTCAGGGGCATAAGCAAATTTAACGTTTACAAATGAATTCGTGTCATTTACTCTTGGGCCATTTGGAAATGGGAATTATTAAAAGGTGGATATTTGTTGCAGCAGGATTGAGATATTGTCTTTATTAAATATCATCAGGAATCACTGGATCATGATAAGTGATGGCTTTAACTATTTAAAACAAGTAAAAACCTGGTGACCAAAGTTTGTATAATGTTTTTGTAGTTTTTTCTCGCAATAACTATGAGATTCGGCTGATAGGTAATTTTGAAATTTTTGTAAGGAAAAGTGGGAGATAAAAAAATAAAAGAAAAAATGTCAATAAAGAATATATCATTAAAAACAACTATTTAAAAAGTTCCAAATTAACATATAATGTATATTTGCAAATGTAAATGGCAAGGTTGAAGTGATATATATTATTTTGAGATTCTAAATTAATAGATTTGATTAAAAAAATTTAAGATTTAAGTTAATTATGCAAAATGGGTTACAATAATAATGCTGTCAAGTTATATATTTAATCTCTTATTAATTAATTTATTTGTTATATATTTTTTATAATACATAATAAACCCTTAATCTAATAAAATTATAATAATATTTAAAAATAGGTTCAACAAATAAAAATTAGTATCTTCTCAAAATATTTGACACTGAATCTATTTAAAAATATTTAAATAATTTTTTTTTTATGAAATATAGCAAAAATAAATTATGGTGTTTGGGACAAATGATTTGCAAACCACTCTTGACTTTTGATAAATATAGTTTCATTTAAATAAACCTTAAGTTATGGTTATTTTGCAAATATTTTGCATTCAAAATATAATAAACCAAGTTTAGTTGGAAGATCAATAAATTCCATGATGTTTAATTTTTTAACATTGAATTCATTATGCATATGTACTTAATGATGGGATCGTATATTTTTCTATTAGACAGTCACACGAGCCTATTTGTTATTAGCCTGGGATCCCTTTGATGTTTGAACATTTGTATAACTTAAACTCCCCTTTTAGTCGTTCTGCAAAAGATTTTAAACACTGCAATATTCACAAATGTGAAAACGAACAAGCATTTGCAAATTGCTTAACTTATTTTTTTAATATTTTAATAATTCTCAAAAATTAGACTAATTTCATGTTTAATCCAAATTTCAAACCTTTCAATCTCAAACATAAATTTGAAAGTATATACCTTTTCAAACATCCAAATGGAAAACGAAATCAAAAAATTATATTTTTGTAAATAATTTCAAATTGGATTTAATAAAGTTTCTCGTTCTTTGAAGAAGAACTTTTTTGATGAATCTAAACTTCCTTTTCGTCAGGATAAAAGAAAAATGCCAAGCCAATGATTGCGTAGGTAGACAGCAACAGTACACCTTCTAGCCAGTTAGATTTCCCGTCCTTTATGCATAAGATTTTATATAAAAAAATTACTAAAAAAGATTTGAAAGCCATATTTTTGGAAATGAAAAGAATTCAACAAACCTGAATGAGGTAATTTGTAATCAAAACCGATATAAATAAAATAACAGTTTCGAAAACGTCAAAGAACAATGTCATTGGTTGATGTATAACCCATCCCAAAGTTACAAGGAAAGGAGTCACGAAAAGGGCAATTTGCTATAAAATAAATAAGAAAATTTACATGGGTGGTCAAAAATTGCTCATTCAAAAGTACCTAAATGGCATACCATGGAACTACCCGCGGCAACGCCAATTGCCAGGTCCATTTTGTTTTTCATAGCAACTGAAACAGCAGTGACGTGCTAGAATAAAGGATTTTTAAATAACGAGTAAAATTGATGAAGTTCCATTTACGAATCTAAATTCTTACCTCAGCGGCATTCCCCACAATCGGAAGTAGAATTAAACCAACAAATGTTTTGCTTAATCCTGAACTCTCGACGATACCTTCTATTGAGCCAACTAGATATTCGGCACAAATAGCAACAATGACTGTGCTGCCTGCTAGTAAACCAAGAGAAATCGGTAATGTCAGTTTTGCTTCTTCTGACTCCTCATTTTCATCATCACCAGATTCAGCGTCATAAAGATGGGCATGTGTTTTCAACTAATAGGAAGAATTAAAAAATAATGAACTTTAGCGAAGCTAAACAAAAAATTATTGTTTTTTGATAGATTACCTGGAAAAACAAATAAAACCCATAAATAACTAGCAATATAATGGCTGTCCCATGGCTAAGTTTCAAAATTTCTTCTTCTGTCCGTGTATTATCGTCGTCTCGAGCTTCCAGAGCAGCATTAAAGGAAGCAGGAATAATGAGAGCGATGCAAGCAAGTGTCATTAAGCTTGAGCTCGTTTGAGCTGCTGTCTGGTTAAATGATTGCTCATTATATTTGAGTCCGCCGAAAAAAAAGCACATCCCCAAGACCAGTAAGAGGTTGGAGATAATAGAGCCCAAAATAGAAGCTTGTACAACTCGAACTTGGCCTTGAGTGAGCGCGAAAATTGAAATTATTAATTCGACAGCATTGCCAAAGGTTGCGTTTAAGAGACCTCCAATTGTCTATAAGAGGAAAGGGTTTTTAAATGATGAGTAAGGACTCCGAAGAAGCTTGTAAATCATGCGACGTTAATGACGGAGTAATTGACAATTCGTATATGGCCAACGGACCTGCCCCACGCGAATTGCTATATCTTCGGTAGCAAACCCTAATAATTTAGCAAGTGGAATAATGGCGAGAAAGTTTAGGGTGAAAACCCAAGTATCGCTCAAATTGAAGAAATGGGCGAGGATTCCGAATGGAATGAAAATTAAGAGAAAATTGGTTGGAGAAGCTTTCACGATCGCATTGAGAGATTTTAAAACAGTTGGCTCTGATTGATTGTGGTATCCGCCCGAATTCGGGGTTTGAATCAAACGTGATCTTTCATTACTTGCTTTAAGTTAGGAAATACCAAAATAAAAGTATTCATTTCAAGTTAGAGTTAGGATCATGAGTTCACAGACTTAAGATCAAATTACAATAAAAACTGCATTCTTTAGGAAACAGAGACTTACACATTATGCTTCTTTTAATTTGAACAGCAAAAGGAAAACGTAAAAATTCCAGGAGACGAGAATTGAAGATATATAGGCAAAACCAGATTATCATAACTGATTTTGGATATTTATGTTCGGCAATTAAAACGGTAAAATAGAAGCTTCTTTCAAAGTGTAACCAATGCGCCTTTACTCCTATTACAAACCTGTTTAGAGCTAAGGAAGGATTCAGCCTTTGCGAAATTCGGGTATTATCTTTATAAATATTACAACATGCTTCTTTTCATTGTAATAATTTTCTCAAATTCAGCGTTTCCCATCAAAATATTTTGTAACGCACTGGATTTTGTGACCGCAATAAACAAATTTTTCATCACAGAATTATCGGCCGAAGATTTTCAAATAAATCATCTGCCATAAGCTTTACAAGATAGCCTATCAACTAAGTAAAATATGGTTTTAATAACTTATAATTAACAATTGGACATCTTTACAGGTTTAAGGCGTTGGTGGTGTAGTGGTTAGCATGCATGCCTTCCAAGCACGCGTCCCGGGTTCGATTCCCGGTCAACGCATTGCCTCGAGCACTTTCTATTATAGAAGCTTGATCAATAAATATCCAAATTATCAATTTTTAAATTTGAATTCCTTTATCAGCTCATTAAATTACATTAAATTACGTTAAAGTCAAAATTATGTTGGAAAAAAAACTCATTTCTTAATTTTCATTTTTAAGAAAAGGCTTTTATATTTTTGAAATCAGTAATTTCTCGATAAAATTTTATCTGCATTAATTCCTGATCTTGGTATAAACTTCAATTTATGATTTGGTGCATCTAAATCCAATCCATGTGGGTCCCCTGTCATGTTTAATTCGACATAATTACCAGTTTTTATATCAATTTCACGTTCAATGGTAAAAAAAGTAAGCGTATAGCAAACAATTGTACACAAAAGACGTTCAGACAACTCTTGACCTATGCAGGCTTGAGGGCCTTTGCTCCAAATCCAAGGATTTTTCCAATCATCTGATTCCAATAAATTTCCATTCTCGTCAAGGAAGCGTTCTGGAATAAACCGGTTCGGCCTGTCAAAGAGTGCTGGGCTAAAATGTGTGGGGTAGGTGTTGACAAGAATGGTACTTTTACCGGGAATATGATATCCACGATATACATTATTAACAGTGATGGCATGGGGTACTGTCAGAAAACCTAATGGTCTGAAATATTAGTTCCAAAAAGCTATTTTAGCTAATCAAAAGAGTAAATAAGCACAATTCCAAAAAATTTTAAAAAGATATTACCTGAACCGAATGCATTCCTTTATAACGGCACGCAAGTATGGTAATTTAACATAGTCCTTAGGATTGGGGAATTGACCTTGGCCAATTAATTTATAAAGCTCACGCTGAATTTTATATTGTACTGTAGGAAGAAAGGAAAGTTGAGCGAATATCCATCTTTGTTGAGATACTGTAGCACCGGTCCCTCCAAATAGAAACAATGCAATTAAATGTAATGAATCGTATTCATCAAAAGTCTGATAGTCATTATACTGGAAGCGATTCTCTTCAATAGATTCTCGTATTGGAGGTAATAAAGTGAATCTTTCAGAAATTTGTTTTTGGTTTTTTATTGCTTTAAGAATATGGGCTGCAAAACAATGTTGACGACCCTTTGCAACTGTAACACGCTGGCGAAGATCCATGATTAATTCATTAGCCATCTCATCTAATCGTTTCCTAGCTTTAATATCATACGGTTTATGTTTTCCAACAGGAAGAGTTTTCGAAGCCCATGAAAAAACACTATTTAATTTGCTATTGACATCCATTGCATAGGATTCGGCAAGAGAATTATAAAATCTTTTAAATGTTGGAACTGTTAATTCTGATCGACTTCCATATGTTATTGATGCTAATGTGTTTAGTACACAAATTCTAAGGTCGTAAGTTGGTTCAATGGGTCTTGAGGAGGTCTTAAGTAGTCGATACATAAAGTGTTTGACTTCACGATGTATGATATTTTGATAATAAGTGTTAACAATATATCCTGTTATTGCCTTATTTGTTAGAGAACGCATGGTACGCCAATAAGTTCTGTCCTGTAAATAAAATATATATATATTAGCAAAATGAAAAGTTTTGGAAATTAATTAAATCTTTGAAGCTTACAGGTGCCAGGTCATTGTATTGTAGGGAGATTTCTTTCGGATTATTATGGGACTGCGAGAGAGATATGAAAAAATTACTAATAAGAAGCCCAAAATTTTGGAAACCAAATCTACAAACTTACTAAACGAGAGGAGTAAATAACACCACCCCTAATTACTAAATCGTTTACAATTTGGTCGTCATTCACGATAGTGTATAATTGTAAGCCTATACGTATCTCAAAAACTGGACCATATTTTCCAGCCATCTGATTGAAGGCAACATGGATTGGGTTAGAGATTTGATGTAAATTTCCAATATATCGTAATGGATGAGGACCAGGAAGTTTTTTTAGAAATTCTTGGGAGTCAATGGTTTGATGTTTCTTTTTACGGAAAAAAGGGAAAGTGCCTTTAATGGTAGGTTTGCCCATAATATTTGAGAAGAGGAAAATAAAAAATATTTATATGAAAAAAGAAAGTTAAATAGTTGGTAGAGGATGGAGAATTGGCGGAAAAAGGGAATGTAGATGTTGGGAGGGAAAAAGCTAAAGTTTGTCATATTATTGTATCTGATGTTTCACAGAAAATTTTAGTTGTGGGTTTAACTCCGCCACAACCTTGAAGTATATTTTTTTTCATGTTTAAGCAATAGTCCATTATTTGAGAAACCGTTTTTCCTTTTGGGTTATTTTGACCTTGGGGAAAATTTTTACTGATTGGTTTTCACTTTATAAATACGACATCAAATAAATTTCATTTAAATAGTGCAACATTACATATGCCCATATGGTTTGCAAGACGTAAATCAATTGAAAATTGAAAACTTATGAGAAAACTACACTTCTATAGTTTGATCTTACCATAGCCCTTTTTTTTTGAAACTTGTAGCATTGATTGCCTTTGAGCTTTGAAAAGATTGATTCTAATATTTAGGATTAAAAAATGGCAGATGGAAAATCTTTTTTTCCAGGAACAGATAGTGTTTTTGTGATTTAAAAATCAATGAAACGGTTTGTGAATAACTGGTCTAAAAAAAGAAAAAACTTAAAATCGATATAAAATATATTTGATAGATTTTATTTTCCCGAACTGCAATACAGGATTTGAGTTAGAGAACGTTCTTTTCACAAGCTGAATATTTATTAAGGCAGAATCTGTTATAATAAGATAATTTTTTGAAATATTTTGTTATTTTTTTTTAATTTGTGTCTAAATTAAGCATAATAATATCAGCCATTGTTATCTAAAGTAAACCGATAAATCCTTTGATATTAAGTATTCACCATTTTTCTGCTAGCATGAATTCAATTTGTAACAAACCTCAATAAGAATAATCCGAAATAACTTTTTCCCCAATTCAGTTTCATCATTGAAACAGCTAAAAATTCTGAAATTGAGATAAATATTGTGTTACTGTTTTGTTGATAATTTGATGTTTTAGAAATTCAATTTTTTTTTTAATTTTCATATATAGAAGAAGTATAATTTTTAATCTGTTCCTGCCCATTTGGTTCACTTTTATTTGCTTATATTTTTATTAATGAATCCTCAATGGCTTCAACAAAAATAATATGTAATGGTGCATCAGACTAATCAATTTAAGTAGAGTCAATGAGTGTTTGATCGATGTAATTTGTTTATATAACTTAAAATTATTAAAATTAGATTTTTAGTTTGATGTACCCCATAATCATATTTTTTATTGAGATATAAATAGCAAAACCAAGAAAAATATTGTTTTTATGTTTAGTTTTATCAATTTTAAAAAAATTAAAAAGGAAACCTTTTTAATTAAAATGAGTATTAAAATTTTTGGATTTTTATTAAATAAACAAAAATAATTTAAAAATATTATATATTAACATTTGTATTATATTTTGAGAATGAGTATTATAAAAATTTTAGTAAATAATTACTTGAATATTTTAATTTTAATATTTTATCATTTTTATTATTGTGATATTAATTTATAAATAAAAAATATTAATATTTTAATAGTCTTTTAAAACATTCATTAATTTTTAAAATTAAATATGGTCAATCAAAAGATTAACAAACAATCTTTAATATTATGCAAATTGCAAAACTTGTCATAATATTTAATTTGATTCTTTCTTAATTTATAATTCAAGTGTAAAAAGGCAAAATAAAAATTTATATCCTTAATTCTTAAGAATATCTTTCGATTGGATTGATTGATTTAATATTTTTGACAGCAAACAGATTTTTGCAAGGAATTTTTTTTTCCTTAGGTTTCAATGATACCATCTGAGAAATAGCAGAAAAGCTAAATTTAGCAAAACTTGGACTGTTTAAATACTAAAAAGGTATGTCATTCTAGAAATACAGTAAATATTTACTTGTACAATTATGTATCATCATGCACCCAAGTGTTTTATAGAAAATCAATAATGAGCTCTGGGAAAAACGTATGATGCAGTTTGGAAATGAGGCCAAATTAATAGAAATTTTAAATTTTTAAATCAAAAGAATAAACGGTCTTGGCTAAAAAATTTTTAAATGTAAACGCCAAAATTTTCGGGAGTTTAAAATGGGAATCACTTAAAATTAGACTGGAATTTGAACTTTCTATGTAGAATCAAAGAATATCTTATCAGCTCAAGGAGCTCCATGTAATCATTCTAACCCAAAACTTTTTTTATTTGTCAGATTGTGTGGCAACAAATAAAACAATCGGCAATACTACCGGTTGTATGACTACATTTCTTGGCAGAATAAGTAAATTGAGATTTTCCTTTAAATTGCCCTCTGAATTCACGATGCTAATATTGTACATTTCAAAATATTAATTTCTTCTTTGAAAATTTTCCAAGTTCAACCAGTAATGACAGAAAGTATGCCACTAACAGAGTTGCAAAATGGTGACAGAAGATTTTTGGATGAAACTACTGCTATCGACCAGGATATAACAACAATAAGGTCTAATATTGAACGTATCAGTCAAATTCAGAATCAAATGCTACGCAGTACTTCGAATGCACAAGAAACTGAATATAATGAAGAAATAGAACCTTTAACAGTTAACACAAAGACGTTACTCATACAAGTTAAAGATAAAATAAAAAACATTGAAAGAGAAAACTTAAGACTGTCACCTCAGAGCAAATACGGACCTCTTAGAGAAAAACAACATAAAAGGCTTCAAGAAAAGTTTACCAATGCACTCAGGGAGTACCAAACTGTGGAGCAATCCTATATGCAATCACAAAAGGAAAAAATTACAAGACAATACCGGATTGTAAATCCTAATGCAACACAAGAAGAAATCGATAACTACGTTTCAAACCCTTCAAGTCAACCCGTGTTTCAGCAAGCACTACTAAGATCAGGGGAAGCTCGGGCTGCTGCTGCTGAAGTACAGAAACGTCATGATGACATTAAACAAATTGAACAAACTATA